AAAGCCCCGTTCATTTATCAGATGCCGGAAACATGGACTCCAGTGGCATTGAAGACTTTGATTCGCAGGCATTTGAACGAGATGATGATACTAATTTTGATGGCGATAATTCTAGTGTAGAAAGGCAGAAGTCAGAAAATAAGAAAGGCTCAGTAGCCGCAATTGCAGCTTCAGAGCAAGAAGAATATTCTCTGACGAGAAGAAACTTAAGAAGAAAAAGAGAAATTGAGGAGTTGAAAGTTCAAAAAAGAGCAAATACCAGAGTTGCTATGAAATCTCCTGATAGATCAAGGATTGATAAAGAGGAATTATCCGGTAAATTGTGCCCAAAAAGCCCTGAAATGGGGAAAAGTGCTCGTAAGAAAAAGAATGTTTCTCCAACTCCCCATAAAAATAGTAGAGCGCAGCAATCAAATTCAAAAAAATCAATTCAAGAAGAGGAAAATAGCACAGCAACATCTGATAGCGACGGAGGAGATGATGAAGATTCAGATGAAGTCTCCCCTGCCAGGAAAAGAATGAATAAAAGTTATTTGAAATCCAATAAAAGATCAGGTAAAGCTGAAGTAGCAGTGAGGAGCACTAGAAGAAGGGTCACTGGACCATCTTCAGAGGAAACGCCAAGCAAAAAAGCTCGCCAGAGTACTAAGAAAGGTACCTCTGATGAAGATTCAAAGCAGCCGAAAAATGAAAATGTTGGAACCAGTAGCATAAAATCCGGGCTAAGAAGAAAATTGGTCCTCCATTCCAAGCCAGATAACAAACAGACAGTAAGTGAATCAAATAAAGCCACCCCAAGGAAATTAATTGAAGTGGAAAATATCGGTAAGAAAGGCAAAGAGGGTAACAAAAGAAAAGTGGAAGGTACATTTATAGAAAATTCTCCCAATTTGAAAAGACAACCAGACAGAACACATAAAGAATCACTTGAAAGTTCCTCTCGAAGCACTAGATCCTCTCGTCCTGTTCCAAATTTACCATCTTCCCCATCTAGAAATCAAGCAAGACAAGCAGAACAAAGTCCCATGAAACCAACCCTTCCCGAACAACATAGTAAAAAACAAGAAGAGCCAACAGATCCAAAATACAAAAAAAGTGAGGAACCACAGTCTCTGAAACAGTTGGAATCCAAAAAGAGTTTGAGACGACTAGAAATTTTAGAAGAAATCAGTCGTAAGTCTCCTCGAGCTCACACACCTTCCAAAAATACTCCCAGCAAAAATGAGAATCGCCTTGATAAATCATCCTCTAAAACAAAAGTATCATGTGCTTCGAGCCCTCAGCAGTCACCGTCCAAGGTGAAAGTATCTAAGAAGCCAAGCCCCCAACGATCACCTGCCAAAATGGAAGTATCTAAGGATACAATCCCTCAACAGTCGCCCTCCAAGAGTACCAATTTTACAAAAGAACAATCCTCAAGACGCACATCGGTTGGGTCACCAGGAGTCTCACCCTCCAAACAAAACATTGAGACAGTTAGGACCCCAG